ACTCATTGGCCAGTAATATTTTGGGGGTCCTTAGAGACGGTTCATAGCTCTTTCTTGTATTGCTGAGGATCCATGAGTGAAAAGGGAATGTGGACTGTAATTGCCCCTAAGGGCCCAGGCATTTCCCTTAGGGGAGTGCTGTAGGCATAGGACTAAATGGATTGGATTCCATTTTCTCTGGTAACTTTGAGCAAATGGGAGAATGTGGAGGTGGGCTGAAGCTTTGTGGAGGAGAGAATTCATCTGAATTTTTTTGCCCACCATTTCCTGTTTGGAAAGGAGGGCTTGGGCACAGACAGGGATCATCCAAGATACAAGAGGTTTCCCCATTTGTTTTTTTTGAGTGTTTTTCTTCCGTGAATGTAAGTGCACCCATGTCGTGCAGAGCCTGCAAAGGCCAGAAGAGGGCATTGGATCCCTTGGAACTGGAGTTAAGAATGGTTGTTAGCTGCCATTTGGGTTCTGGGAATTGAACCAGAGGCCTCTGGAGGAGCAGCCAGTGCTCTTAACCACTGAGCCATCTCTCCAGCTCCTAATTTATTTATTTTTTTTAAGATAGAAGAGCTACATCTGCAATAACATCAAAGAGATAGGTTCTGGCCTAGGCTGCTAGCTGGGTTATAGGTATATTCTTATAATCTTAGCACTTGGCAGGCAAGGCAGGAGTTTTAAGTTATCTTTGGCTATATAGTGAGTTTTGTGGCTAGCCTGGGCTACATAAGACCTTGTCTCAAAAACAAACAACGACTGGAGACATGGTTCAGTGGTTAAGAGCACTTGCTACTCTTGCAGAGAACCCGGGTTCTGTTCCTAGCACCCATATGACAGCTAACAGTCATCTGTAACTCCAGTTTCAGGGGATGCATTGTCCTCTTCTGACCTCCGTGGGCATTGTACCACATGGGTGTACTTAAATACATGCAGTCAAAACACTCATACACACAAAATAAAAATCAACCAGTCAAACAACCAAAATGTACATCATAGTATACACTTATAATCCCTACACCTCGGGGGCATAGACCACAGGGTCAACACAAGTTCAAGGACCGCTAGCTCTATAGCAAGATTCAGCCAGGGCTTCTTAGCAAGACTTTGTCTTAAAAAAATGAAAAGTGAGGGCTGGAGAGATGGCCCAGCAGTTAAGAGGACTGGCTGCTCCTGCAGAGGACCTGGGTTTGGTTCCCGGCACCCACATGGCAGCTAACAACCATCTGTAATTTCAGTCCCGAGTGCTGGGATTAAAGGTGTCCACAACCATGCTCAGAATTTTAAAAATGTTTTATGAACAAAATCTATTTGTGCATGCTAACATGTCTCTTTGTGTTTTCATGCGGTCATTTTAATCCACAAACATGATAGTTTCCTGTGGTTTTCTCTGATCCTCACACCCCATTTCTCCTACTCTGTCTCATTGAGTGATTAGTATCTCTGGTGCCATCTAGACCAGAAAGGGTGACAGCAAATTTTTGGTATTAAGAGCAATTTTCCTGGTCCTACTTCTGACATTTTACATTATGCTGATAAATTATACAGGTTGTATCAAGTCATGGAAGTGTCTTTTTATTCCTATTTGCTAAGAATGTTTTCTTTAAATCATGAATAAGCACCAAATTTTAGAAGGCCAAGATAATATTGTTTTCATTTATGTTATTGCATATTATGTATGTACTTCTTTGATAATAACAACTAGTTGAAGGTACATTATAAAATAATATATATGTAATATTTTAGATAAGGAAATTTTAAAATACCTGTCCAAGCATTTATGCTTTAGAATGTCATTCTTTTTAAAAAAATTTTATGTATATATGTGTGTATTGCCTACATGTAGGTATGTGCACCCATGTCGTACAATGCCCCTAGAGGACAGAAGAGGCTGTAGGATTCCCCTAGAACTGGAGTTACAGACAGTTGTTAGCTGCCATGTAGGTATAAGACTGGAACTCGGATCTGCAGGAACAGCCAGTGTTCTTAACCACTGAGCCATCTCTCCAGCCCCTAGAATGTCATTCTTTAATGGACTCTGTCTCTCTCCATAACCTGATGGAAGCAGGAGAGCATGACACAGACACATACAAGGAAGGTCATATGGACAGAGACAGCCAGCTACCAGCCAAAGAGACACACACCAGAAGCTACCCTACTGACACTTGAACTGGACTTAGTGCCTTCATAAATAAATAGCTGTCCGAGTCACACAGGTGGTGTGATAGCCCTAGCAAACTGCAATGGTGAACCATGTTGACAGTGAAACTTCAGATGACCCAAAACTTGGCCCGTGTCTGAGCTATCTCATGAGACTTCAAGGCAGAACTACTCAGGTAAGCCTCTTTCTTGTAAATTCCTGATCCACAAAAGCTGTGTGGATTAAGAAATGCTTGCCTTATCTTAAAACTTAAGATGTTTTGTTATGAAGCAATAAATACAATAAATTAAGCAAATAATTAACAGTGATTGATTCTCTTCTATTTGTACTCAGGAAAATCCTATATACCATTCAGAACTCAGTTTGGCGTTTACATGCCAAATCTTATCTTGAAACTCATTGTTTTAAAGAAATAAGCTCTTCTCTGTTTCTCAAGTTTAAATCTGAAAAACATTCATTACATTTAGTCTCAGTCCAAATTTATCATAATGAAAAGCGGAGCACTTAAACTTATTTGGTTCATTAATGTGCTGGACAGCTTTAGTGTCAACTTGACACACCTGGGTTGAGGGAGCCTCAATTGGGGAATTTCCTCTATTGGACTAACCTGTGGCCATGTCTGAGGGGCATCTTCTTGATGAGTGATGTGGGAGGGCCCAGCCCACTGTGGGTGGTGCAACCCCTGGGCAGGTAGGCCTGTGCTGCATAAGAAAGCAGGCTGAGCAGGGGCTAGGGGAGCAAGCCAGTAAGCAGCATTCCTCCATGGCCTGTGCTCCACCTCCTGCCTCCAAGTTCCTGCCGAGTTCCTACCTTGGGCTCCCTGATGAACTGTGTGCGACCTGGGAGATGTAAGACAAATAAACCCTTTCCTCCCCAAGTTTGTAGTGGTCAGAGTGTTTTGTCACAGCAATGAAGAACAAACTAAAACAGTAATTGGTACCAGAGAGTGGGATATTACTGTGACAGACCTGACCAGAGAGTGGGATATTACTGTGACAGACCTGACCATGGTGTTTTGGGGAGGACAGTGGAAGTGTTTGGAACTTTGGGCTGGAAAAGCCATTGTGTGCTCAGAGTTTGTTGCAGTGGAGCTTCG